ACCCTTGGGGATAGACACAAATCGCTGTGAGAATCATCGGTCTAGAATATGAATCACGACTAGCTAGGGGAATAACATAATTGAAATTACGTACGCAATTTTAAATTATCATGATAAGTGAAAACGCATTGCAACTGACCTATACGACGCTTTACATTAATGTTTGTATAATTTACGATCGACGCGCAATTTACGCTCCATTTGTACGTAAAATAATTACTATTACGCGAAAGCTAGAAATATAACTACAGTAAACATCGCAACTGAAAAAACTCATTTGCATTGCAAAGGACGTTACAGACGCCGTTGTAATCCAACGCTGTTTTTACGCGTTTATGTTTTTTTTTATGTTTTTACGTTGTACATTACGCGTAATTTACCCTTGATTCCCCTGTAGAATAAAATCATTGCTAGGGGTAACCTCATTGACTTACAATTATATGGACGTCGGGTCCGCGCTAAAAAGTGTCTGAACTTATAGGGCATTAAAATCGTATACAGAGCGTCATTCACGCTTTAGTCTTCGTTTGTTCGACTGACAGCGAAGCAAGCAAAATTAGACAGTACTGCGATGACATTACAATTTAAATTCAACGTTTTAGCTTTTTCATATTCCTTTACATGTCACTATGTTTAAATAGGTTGACTTGGGATATTTTTTTCGTGGTTTTTGTATTAGACCCGTCGTCCATTTATTTGTAAGTCAATGGGTAAACTAGAATAAAAGCATAACTAAAATTACGCACTTGACACGCAATGTCGTTGGATCATGACATAATGAAAACTCATTGCAACGGATGTAGGTGACTGGTGCTGTTAAGTTCTATATTTAAACGAGACTAAGAAAACTTGAGTAAAAACACAATTGCTATTAAGCAATATTCATCGATCACGACTATTAAAAACGCAATCTCGCAGGCTCCAGCTAAAAACCTACAACTAACCTATTTTTTTCGGCTATTATTGTATATTTTGCTTATTTCATTTTATTTTGTCCTGTTTTTATTTTATTTGAAATGTTAATTGGGAATAGTTGAATAAATGTCAATTAAAACCTTGGTATTTTTCTTCATTCATTCTTATCACTTCATACTATTCGATACCGTCGGGGATAATGCAGATCCCCGTACCAACCAAACCAAATTTCACAGGATTTAACGTTATTACTTTGTAATTTCAATGGGTTCGACATGCATTTTTTGCACAATAAACACTGTCCCCGACGATACCTCTTTCGATAAATAATATTGAAACCTTACCTTTATGACGTGAAACCGAGCCTATATTTTATCACAAATAACATATCACACAACAATGGTTATTTTAACATCTCCCCGTACACGTTATGTCACCAAAAATGTTGCATAAAAACAGTTTGTATTTACGATTATTATTTTTTATTTTCAGCTGTAATTGTTCGAATATATCTTTCGACTATGAGTTGCTATCTTTGTTTATCTGTGTGTGTATATATCTACATATCTTCCAGCTGATATGATACGGAGATAAAAAGTAGAGTAACTTTAATGTATTTGCGATATAGCAGGCATGTATTAAGCATTGTTGTGTAATTATTATTGCCCCCGTGGTAAGGTGGCCAAGATGCTGGCATCGTCCCCCTTTTGTATTGCTATGCTATACTCCTTCCAACCATTTATTTAACTTTTGACAGCTCGAATTCTAATCAATTAGTGATGTCCTAATATGTTTCCGATTCGATTTTTTTATAACAATCGATTTTATTTATGATGAAGTTTAAATCGTGAATGTGAGCGGTTTCAAAAAAGAATATATTGTCTGATTGGGATCGTGATGTTGCGTTTGACGATTTATGTATTCAAGAATTAACAATTTATGTTAATGAGGAATCAAGCGATAATTCCCGTTCATATAGAAATAGAAATAGATTTCATTTCATTATAATTTATTTCATGTCATTATAATTTACCAGGTACCAAAATTTATCAAACTTGAATAATTTTTGTTATTTAATCTGTTGGCTCGATAAATATCGGAGCTAATGAGCACGTCGCTTCACTAAGATTAAAAAATAAAAGAATCCAGGAAGTATTGCATTTTTTTTCCATGGTTGTACTTAGACTATGGAAACTAAAGGACATGTTATGTTGACATACATAAATCAGACGTTATATGTATGTATATGATGCATTTCGACATCGAAAACATGAACATGTTATTGTCTTTGTTTAACTATTGCGTGCCGTCTTAAGCTAAAAGAGATAGCATTACATTGGTCTGTGTCAAACATACGAATCGAAAATACGTAACGTCGTCTTAAATGCCGACTGTGGCCATTTCGCAATACATGAGGTACATGATACAGTTGTCAAAGTAAAGTTTTATTGAACTATTCGCATGTGCTGTAATAAAATGGACAAAAATATTGACAGTGAGAACAATTAAGTATTAATAAAAATTCGTCGCTGCAGCATTACGGGATGTGGCAATTGAAAAAGCGAAGATCGACCGAATGTAACATTGTATAGGCACGTGTTGTTTTTCTGTCTATAAATCACACAAAAGTCATAATGTCTCATGTAATTAGACATATTTATGTAGTATATTCATAAATCTTGCCAAATTTTGCTTTGGTTTCTTCAGATTGCCTGTTTGTTTGTATATTTTTGATGATTGTTGTTAACGATTATTTTGAGAAAGTGTTTTTCTTGGAAGCGTATGTACGCTTTATTATTTTTAGTGAATTATTTTAATAACAGAATATCGATAATATGTATTATCGATATTCTGTTATTAAAATAATTCGAACTTTACGAAAGGGACGTACTGACAAATAGACTATTTGCGTGGTTAGACATTTTGCAAAGTGGACATTCTACGAATGAGCCTTAATTTCTTGCAATATTGATCATTTGTGACGAAGATACTTCATTACTTATCCATGTATTAATCGCCGAAGGGTCCAAGTCTGCTAATTTTCTGGAAATCATTGGTCATTGTAATTCCTTTGAGACTCCATTGAGATTATATTGCAATTACGATAATATTTGTTATTGTGTTAAAATCTAGTTGCAATGGCAGTTGAGTCTCAAAACAATGTCAGTGGAATTGCGGTGATGTCATTCATTCATTCAATCACTAACGATGTTGCCTTACTAAAACTACATAGGGCGCACTAAAAGTTACCGAAATTGCCTACTTACATAAACAATATTTAAAAAGTAATTGCAATATTTGAGAATGGAACTCTTTGGCTGTAGAATACAGTTTGTTTCATCTGACTGTCACTTGTTTTTTACATTGTGGCGTCATTTTAGAAATTGGTTGTCTACTTCACCATGGGTTTAACTGGTGAAAATTTTCGTAGTATGATTTTCTACGACTTTAAGTGTAATTCAACAGCTCAGCGGAGCTTCGCTCGGCTTCAAACTGCTTTTGGCGATGAAGCACCATGCAAGACGACTATTTATAGCTGATTTGCAGAATTCAAACGCGGTCGTGTGAATCTCAGTGACGAATTTCGTGATGGTCGCCCGTCCACTGCTGTGAACAACAAAAACATTGATGCTGTGCGCCGTATGATCAAAACAGACAGGCACGTGACATACCATGAGATTCGGGCATCTTTAGGCATAGGCATGAGTCAAATACAATCAATACTACACAAACATTTGAATTTGAAAAAGCTGTGCTTCGGTAGACCCTACACGATTTGACTGAGGTTCAAAAAACGGATCGCGTCACTTGGTGCAATGCCATGCTTACCAGATTCAACGAAGGGGCGTCAAATTCGGTGTGGGTCATAGTAACAGGTGTCTAAACTTGGATTTATACTTACGATCCCAAAACAAAGCAGCAATCGACCGTATGGGTCTTCGAAGATGAGCCGAAACCAATCAAAGTGGCGCGTGCAAAAAGCCTATAAGCGGATGATTGCTTCTTCTTTTAATAAAACTGGACGTGTGGCTACTGTTGCTTTGGAGGATCGTTGTACCGTGAATAGTGATTAGCACACGACCATTTCTTTGCCGGAAGTTATTGACAAATTCCGTAGAAATAACCGTAAACGCCGTATCATCTTGCACCACGATAATGCCAGTTCTCACACGACCAGACAGACACATGAATTTTTTAAGGTGAACAACGTTGACCTTATGAGCCATCGCGCGTACAGTCCCGACATAGCATCTTGGGACTTGTATTTATTTCCACAAATTAAGAACCAGTTACGCGGCCAACGATTTTCATCACCTGAAGAGGCTGTCGAAAAGTATGAAATATATGTTTCAGAGATTGTCACGGAGGAGTGGCATAAATGTTTTCAAAATTGGTTCATTCGTATGAAAAAGTGCATTAACGCTAATGGAGAATATTTTGAGAAACACTAAATTCATTTCTGACCGTGTATAGTTTTTTTTTCTTATTCATTCCGGAAACTTATTGTGCGCCTCACGTGTAATGGAAATTCATGAAAATTAGCAATTTAGTCTTCAAATTAAATGAATTTTTTACAAAATTAAAGTCGGATAAGCGCTGAAATTTTGAGTAAAAACGAATCGAAAGTAACGTCAAATAAACTAAGACTGGCCGATGGCGTCATCGGCTCGCCGTTGAAGAGTAGAATACCGAGAAATTGCAATGGTAATGGTAGGCGATAGCTGACAAACCACAAATGGAAAATAACCTTTAGAGTGAATGGACATTTGTCAAATAAACACGAGATTGACCAAGCGTTGAAATATTTTATATTTTTAGTGTGCATGTTCCATCATCGAGCTTAAATTTTTGCATAAATCTTCAATGCTGAAAGTCGTGACCCCGAATGGTTTTCGAGACTTTATGGACGATTTTTTTCCATCTGCTTCTATCTTCAGCCTCTCTCAGGGCAGTTGTTATAGCGAGGCCAGGGAGGACGGTCACTTGGTCACTCCACGTAATCGACCGCGGAGCCTCTTAGTAGCAGTAGAGCTGCTTGTGAAAGAGCTGGTCCAGGGAAGTACTGCCACCTTACTTATTTCTACCGCCAAGCAGTAATGGTCACATTACTGTGTTCCGGTTTTAAAGGGTAAAGGTTCTGGTGAAATTACAGGGTGACGGGCGCAGTGGCGGTGCCCCATGATCTTTATGACTTAAAGCTCTGAGTAACACTGCAACTGTTATTGGCAGGCGTGTGGCTTACCACCAGGCGCTCGACTTGTTCGTCCCCTCACTTGTATTATTAATAATCTCAGTACCAACCGTAAAAAACCGACCTCAATAGTACGTGTAATTACATCTATTTGCCAAGTTTTATTGAAATATCCCCTAGTTCGCCACTATACAGGACTTGACACAGGCGGTATTAAAAATCGGTTCTCACTACTCAAAGTATATTGAGAGAAAAACGCCTTGAATTGGAGAATAGCAAAACCAACTATTAAAATAATTGCTCTTTAAGTAAAATTTAGGCGCTATTTTATAAAAATGAATGTTAATGCATGATCGGCTACCCTTAGAGGTGGATGATTTTCTTCAAAATTAAATGGGACCACTATGGGGGTACCCACTTTCCAACAAAAAAAGAATCATGAAAATCGGTTCACAGATACCGTAGTTATCGCGTAACATACAAACAAAAAAAAAGTCGAATCCAGAACCTTATCCTTTTTTAGAGCCGGTTAAAAAAAACTTTACCCACTACAACCAGTTTGCTTTTTGTCTATTTTGTCTTATTTTATTTGTTTTTTTATACATATTAATTTTGTTTATTACATTGACTTACAATTATATGGACGTCGGGTCCGCGCTAAAAAGTGTCCGAACTTATAGGGCGTTAAAATCGTATACAGAGCGTCATTCACGCTTTAGTCTTCGTTTGTTTGACAGTACTGCGATGACATTACAATTTAAATTCAACGTTTTAGCTTTTTCATATTCCTTTACATGTCACTACGTTTAAATAGGTTGACTTGGGACATTTTTTTCGTGGTTTTTGTATTAGACCCCTCGTCCATTTATTTGTAAGTCAATGGTTTATTATGTCTTTTTATTTTGTTTTGCTTGTCTAAGTGTCAAGTGTCTTTTTTTGTATCTATGTGTTGTGGCGTTGCAATAAATGTCTATTCTATTTTATTACATTATTTTGCAATTATAAAAATATTTGTTATTGTGCTAAAATCTATTTGCAATGGCAGTTGAGTCTCAATAGAATGTCAGTGGAATGGTACTGATGTCATACATTCATTCAATTGCTAATCATAACCGTTGCCTAACTAAACCTACTATAAAATTACTATGCATATCTTTATTTTTATCTCGTTCAATCTGCAATTTAGTCTTCAAATTAAATAAGCATAATATTACTAGACTGCACGGTCGACGCGGCATCAACTTGCCATTGTAGAGGATAATACAAAAAAATTGCAATGACAGTTTAATAGTATCTCGATGGCTAGCCACTGACTACTTTTAGAAGAATACCAAACGTACAAAATCACATTGACCCTCTATCGACACTCAACTGAGATGATTTCAAATTAACAGACCCTGAATACATGCCTGCACTTTTACCAATGCATTAAAATTGTTCTTATCTATTCAGATACGTACTTTCGAGAATTTCGACAATGCCAATGATGTCGATTACCTATCACAATTAAAATAAGTATTTGTATCTAAATACGTCGAATGTGCTGAGCACGAGTCTCAATGGAGAGTTTATGTGTTAATGCAGGCACATATTATTCAGTAGTTAATTAGTAAGATACGAAAATACCAAGCTAAGTCCAAACTCATGGTACCACGATTTCGCTTAACCAACGTAAACGATTATTTTATTGAGAACTGTATATGTTTTTACAATAAGATTCCGGAGCATATATAAAAATTATCATTTCCTACGTTTAAAACTACAATAATAATATTCAATTCAATCAAAAGATTGAAAAGTCATATTACAAAATTGAAGACTACGTGTTAGATAAAGATGAATAGAAAGATGACATGGCTCTAGATTCCACACAAATTTGATTCAAAGTCATTGACTTACAATTATATGGACGTCGGGTCCGCGCTAAAAAGTGTCCGAACTTATAGGGCGTTAAAATCGTATACAGAGCGTCATTCACGCTTCAGTCTTCGTTTGTTCGACTGACAGCGAAGCAAGCAAAATTAGACAGTACTGCGATGACATTACAATTTAAATTCAACGTTTTAGCTTTTTCATATTCCTTTACATGTCACTACGTTTAAACAGGTTTTCTTGGGACATTTTTTCGTGGTTTTTGTATTAGACCCGTCGTCCATTTATTTGTAAGTCAATGTTCAAAGTGTATTCCATTTAAGTTTATTTGAAAAGAGCAATCCCTAGAGTTTCTTGCTCGTTCTTCTCAGGGGAGTCTGCGTAGTGAACGAGCAGTATTTTAAATGTGACGTTTTCAACTGTAAATTTATTTTAGCTGTGGAATAAATGATTATTTGACTTTGACTTGACTTTAACCTACGCTATAATAGCCTACTAACTAACTAGTTACATCAGGCGGTAGCTACGAGGTAAAAGGAACCTAAGCACGAGCTCAGAGAGGTGAAAATAACGTTGCCCGCAGTATGTGTACTGCGCAATACGGTGCGCAACTGAATGCTCTTGGATTGTACAAGAATTGTAATGTAAATGAAAGACTTGTCTGAGACTTTGAAATCACAATTTTTTTATTTGGTATAACTAATTATAATAAAATGTAGATATATATTTTTCTTTCTCTAAATTCTCTGATGTTGTATTATATTCGGAATAGCGTAAATAATTTTAATAAATAGGCAATTCTAATATAAAAATGAACAATAATAACGAAACGTGGCGTACGACCATCAGATGTGCGTGCAACACCTTCTGAGCGTTTGCACTGCCGGCGATACACTCAGCAGTCGGCACGTAAGGCAGGCGCGTAACCCGAGCGATGGCCGGAGCCGTGGTCCTGGGAAGTACTGCCACCTTAACTATTTCTGTCGCCACGCAGTGCGAGCATTAATGCTCTACGGTTCTTAAGGGTAGAGGTGCTGGTGAAAGTACAGGCACATGGGACTTATCAATTTTATGTCCGCGAGGGTGACAGGCAGTGGCAGTGCCGCACAGGCCTTTGCAATTTAAAGCTCTTGAGCTCTTGTGTATGGACAGTGATTTGATGTTATAAAAAAAAAGAATGTAACCCTATAATATGTATACAGCATTATTACGCAAAAAACATGCAAAAACATATTGCAATAGTCTAACGGAAATAAAGACTAATGACACAAATAAAATTAAAAAAAATAAAATAAAATTTATTTGACAGAAAATGTTTACAATTTCATATTTACCACAGTCCCCATACTATTTAACGAGACAACATGCTTAAGACTTCTAGAAAAACTTTTAAGTTGCATAACGGCTTCCGCATACGTCTAAAGTCTGCAAAAGTTATAAAAAATGGTAATAGCGAACCCAAATATCGCCTCTGCCTTTGTACGTACTAGGTAACCTGTTAGCCATTTACACTTAAAGTACCGGCACGCTAAAATGACCGTTTTGACTTGTCCGGGCATCAACTTTCGTATTAATTCATAACAAACGTTGTAGGACCTAATTGATGTACTTTGTTTTCAATAGTGATGTGCAGTAAAATCTATGGAATGTATAGTTTTACAACACAACTCGGCATTTGTTGTTCGAAATAAATGAAATCTAATACGATCGTCACTCATAGGATCGCTGGCCAGCACAACTTCTACCTCCGGCAAACTCGCGTCAAAACTCAATGCAAAACAAAGCAGTTTCGAATTGACGATATATTAAGTAAACATTTTTATTTTCGTTACATGAAACTTTTGAATCAGCTACCCCTTGCAATACTAGTTATAAATCTAAAAACTTATAGATGTGACTCGCATTTGATTATATATTTTCTTGTCCTTATCCGAAGCTCTGTAATAGGGGCATAATAATAGTGCAAACTTGCAAAATTCAACGTCCATAGTACAATTCTCGGAAAACGTTTGAATGCCCAAGCCGCATTAGGCCAGCTTGGTGATCCATGTCCAGCAGTAGGAAGTATAAATCAGTTGATGGTGATGATGATCAAGACAGTAACTATACTGAGTTATATAAATAATTGTTTTTATTTTTAGGAAATGTCCTACGCGACAAGTTTTCGTCCGCGACGGCCGGTCGCACTGCATTGGCCATTGCAATGTTGATACCATGTGTGGAGAGGTCAGGGTACCGGAGCACCATTTGAACGTAAGTATTATTATAACTATGAAAGTAAAAATAATAACGCACACAATATACTACATAATAACGTCACAATAACGACACATTACATTACGTACATCTTGTACTTGTTGGGAGAAAAATAAATTATTTTATTATTATATTATATTATATTATTATTACATACATAGACAGCCACAAATTACACCCATAGGCATTGACTTACAAATAAATGGACGACGGGTCTAATACAAAAACCACGAAAAAAATGTCCCAAGTCAACCTATTCGAAATTTAAATTGTAATGTCATCGCAGAGTCGCGCTGTCAGTCGAACAAATGAAGACTAAAGCGGAATTTGGCGCTCTGTATACGATTTTAGCGCCTTACAAGTGCGGACACTTTTTAGCGCGGACCCGACGTCCATATAATTGTAAGTCAATGCCCATAGGTCAACCACAGTGGGAAAACGGTTGTAACTACAGATTTCGTGCTTCGAGAGTAGTGCTCCTGATCGCACTGAGTTGAAGACTTGTGCAAGGTCGCTTTTCGCAATAAAAAGAGTGCACCAGTGGCGGTAGCATGGCAGAATATGTGCGAAAAACTCCCCGTGACTATATTTAATTCAGTTGATAAATATAAGTTTGCTTGTTTGGTAATGAACTATTGTTATACATTTTGAAGAACAAGAACAACGATATGAAATTGCGTATATAGCTATCTTTGTCGTTTAATCATTGCCACGAAAACCATGAAACAAAAATGTCATTTCATCTCGTTTGTTGCGCTCAATTTTTACATTGATAAAATTACTATCCAAATGTTTTAAAATCAGATGTGATATTGCAGCCATGCTAGGCACTGTGTTAATCTTTTGCAGTTATTTGTCGCGCGCGCACGCGATGACATAACAATGTGCCGTCACGGTGCTCGCTATGTTCGCTATTGTGATAAAATTTTAAAATTTAAAGTTTATCACTCGAATTTGACAACTAAATGTCGATATAATAGCTTTACAGATGCAGCATACTACGGGGGCAGACTATCACTCGAAAACTATATAAAATCGGATAAGTGGATGGTGGAGATATGTTTCGAGTTCTTGGGTTTTCTCGGTGCAACATATATTTTTTGATCGCAATGCAACATATTAAAAAAAAAACAACGTTTCGTGCTCGTTCCAGATCTCACCTGCATAGAGCCCGAACGTTGGTTTGCTTGAAAAAACATATCAACGCGATTTTGATCTTAAAAAATAGTTTCTTTTCCAAAGCAGAGATATTTCTGCAACCCTCAATAATGAGAACGACGAAAAAGGCAGAAATAATATACTGAGACGTCGTTTAAAGAGAAAGACAGCAATCATTCAATAGCCGTTGAGATACTATTACTTAATTAATTTTTAAAGAAACCGACCTTAAAAGTTAGTGGAATTACTTTACTTAATTACTTTTACTTATTAAAATGCGCGAAACCGGATTTGTCCCCTAGTTTGTCACCTTAGAGGTGAAATATTTTCTTCAAATTTAAACAGGACTAATACTGACGTACCCTCTTTCCAACAAAACAAGAATTATCAAAATCGGTTCACAAATTAATCGCGTACCACACATACAAAACACTGTCCAATTGAGAACCTTCTCCTTTTTTAAAGCTGGTTAATTAAATTAAAATTTCATGAACAGGCTATGGTTTTGGAGATGAAGCCGCCCGTTGCCGAGATTGCGTATGCTTCGCTACAGAATATGCAGGTAGCATCACATACCCTGATGTTGCTACTATGAAGCTTTTACGTTTGCTCTTGGATTTACGCTTATGGCCTGCTATTTCTGGAGCAATATTAAAAGCGTTTACTATTGGAGAAACTGCTTCAAAATTATGATCGTTTGCTGTTTCCAAATCTTTGGCAGCTTGGAGATTTATATCCTCGGGATCTTCATTAGACTCGTCCATAGCGATATCCATCGGGGCATCCACAGGAATATACATAGGCATATCCTTAGGATAATTATCCATATATTCATTAAATGCTTTTTGTGCGTGCCTATCGTCTTTCTCTGATCTGTATGTGGATTTATTTTTTTCATAATATTTGGGAGTATAATTATGCTGCATCGAATCGCTATAATATTGTCTCGATGTAGATTTTTCATTTATTCTCATTTCTCTATTCTTTTTATCGTTATTTTTATTATTATAAAGTGTATTTGAAGATGGGAAATCTGTTAGTTTATTGTTATTAGTACCATTGTCATTTCGACTTACAAGGTGGAACAATAATTCGTTATCATCGAAATTCACTTCCTTATTTATCCTCTTTCTAGGTCGATATTGAGTAGTTTTGGCTTGACTGTGTCTCTCCTCTTTTCTTAGCCTCTCCTTTTTTTTCCAACGTTTCTGTTGCCTTGTTGTTGTTTTATCTACGGGTAGCTCAAAATTTTCCTTCGATGCTTCCTTCAAGTCCTCGTGTTTAGGATTTCTTTTGATATAGTCGTATACATCAGGATCTTTCGTTTTCTTATACTGTATCAAAGATTCACTATAAATAGTGACTGTATCCGATTTGTCTTCAACGAACTCAATTGTAACCGGAGTTTTTTGTGTACTATGAGTTTGTTGTATATAACGATCAGATTCTTTTTTATTTTCTTGTTTTTGTCTTGCAATTTTCGAAAGTGGATCTAATTCATTTTCAGACACACTTTGTATCCCGCTAACGTTTTGTTCATTTTCAGCAGATACGTTAGGAATAGCAGTCTGGCCGCTAGCTTTGACAATGAATTGGGCTATTTGTTCAGCTAACGGCTCTGAAACAAATTTTCTTGCGATTTTCTTGACGTCTTCTACATTTGCTGTCAGGAGAACGAATGCCTGCGTGTAGTGAGCAAATAAGAGAAGTAGGAGAGCTGAAATTTAAAGAAATAACAGTATAGTAGATGCTACGGTGGTGATAGCAAGATTTGCTTGTTTTTATTTTGAGACCAAGTAACGGGATGAAAAAGTCGTGCGCTTGGCGATATGCCTATCCAGGACAGTTTCAGTGCCACTCAGAGCTTTAAATTGCAAAGATCTGAGAGGCATTGCCACTACTTTACAGTGTTGATTAACCGTGAACATCGAGTATAACCAAAAATAGAGACGAAATGTAATTTAATTAGTTTGAAAACTATTCTGCCAGATCATTACAGTAACAACTGCGCTGCGATTGGCCAGCCCGAATTCGAAGCAATTGATGTGTGTCGTTAATTGTTTCACTTCAAATCGACCAGGTTAACTTGAGCTTTGGTGTAATGGACGAAAATTGAAAAATTACGTATTTAGTTACCGATGAAATGTGATTCCGTTTGTTTTTAACCGATTTCAAAAAATGGAGGAGGTTCTCAATTCGATTGTATGTTTTTTTTGTGTGTTACACGATAACTCCTCCATTTGTGGACCGATTTTGATGATTCTTTTTTTGTTGGAAAGAGGGTACCTATAGTATACCTATAGTGGTCCCATTTAATTTTGAACAAAATCATGTACCTCTAAGGGTGGCTGTTCACGCATGAAGATTTTTTTTTATAAATAACGCCTAAATTTTATTAAAAGGAGCAATTATTTGTCGTGTTAATGGTTGATTTTTCTATTCACCAATTCAAGACGTTTTTCTCTCTCAATATACTTTAAGTAGTGAGAACCGATTTTTATTATCTCCTGTGTCAAGTCCTGTATAGATTTCTATACCAAGTTGGTAATTATATATAATTCCACGTACTTTTGAGGTCGATTTTTTTAGTACTTTGTACTGAGATTATGTAATTAGATGTTTTGTTGCTTTTCCCACACAATCGAACGGAACAGCCCTCCACAGATAGATATATTATCTTTATTATCATAAATACAGAATATTTTTGGAATACATGGAGTACACACAGGCCGGTTGTTGGCGCTGTACTATTTCAGCTTTCTAATTTGTGATTTCAGTGCAAACGAGAGTTGATATTTAAAGTGACATAAGGCCCATTTGCCTGATGAGTTGCCAGGGATAGATGGCCCTTATTTCGTCTCTATTTCTGGTTATATACTCGATGACCGTGTAGGATCTTGAGGAAACCTGTATTTCGTAGATTCTTTGAAGACATGGGAAGTCTCCACTCATATTGAACTTGGAATAATGTATGTGACGTCAGACGTACCCTGGACAACAATAGGCAAGTAGTACGTTGTTCTTATAATAATATTATTGGCAAATCCTTTCGCCAAAATGGCAAACATATCCCATGCTCAGTTCAGTATGGCAAATACTTGTAGCGTGATCACCGTGGCCAAGTTCTGGGCTGCGATGGCGATGGTACGGTTTTTTTTCAACTCGAGTTGAAGTGGCTGCTAACTCGAGTTAACTCGACTCGGTGTCTGACAGAGTACCCGCGACTCGCGAGTAGAACTCGAACCGACGATTCACCGAGTTGGGCACGACCGGCGTGCCAACCGCGACTCGAGCATGCTCTAAAGGTCGCCGAACCGACCGAATGAGAAGGAATAGCCACTGCGTATTGCGCTTTATTAATGAAATAATCGGCTCGGCGGGGCGGGTACCGTTAGCTCGAGTTTTCGAGACTCGTTGTGGGAGTAACTCGAGTTAATCGAGTTAGATAACTCGACTCGCCCATCGCTAGGCTGTTTTGAATAGTGTATGCCACCAATACGATACTAAGAAGTGATGGCTTATCAAACTCATGCCCATTTGTGGGACTGTTAGAGAACTGTTACACTTACCTGAAACTGTTATTTTAGAACGAAACATGTTTCTCTGACTATTTTTATCGCATTGAGTGTATGAAATAAAACGAATAAATAATAATTTCAATATTTATGTAGTTTGGTTTCCGCAAATATATGCTTTTATACAGGTGGCTTTTTAGTTACCTCCGAATTCTAACATTAATTTTCTTTGGTAAATATTAACTGATCCTTTTTTTCTTTTCAAAGTCAAAGAATCGGTTATTCCGTAGGTAAAACAAATTTACACTTGGAAATGGCATTTTTTGTTCTACTGGTTGTTCACTGTGCCGACTTTCCTGAGTAGAACGAGCAAGAAACTCTAGGGCATAGGTTCCCAAACTTCTTGACTCACATAGGCAAGAAAAAAAAAATTCAAAACGATTGTTTTTATTAACTTTTACACTACATATATACGTCGTTTTGAAATGAAACTATTAACGACACCCGTCAATTGTTTCGAATTCGGGCTGGCCAATCTGAGCGCAGTTGTCATCGTAATGATTTGGCAGAATAGTTTTCAAACGAATTAAATATCTCGTCTCTATTTCTGGTTATATACTCGATGGCTAGTTCTGACCAAAACTGTTCTTGCTCATAAATATGAAATTATTTTGTCTCTTTTATTTTTAAATATATTTGGCAAGTAGGAAATTGCTTAGAAGTCTGTGATAAACGTTAACCTATACATAAATTATAATGATCTTTTACGGGCAGTAAGTAGGTTTCCGTCGATTATAAAAAAAAAACTTTTGAGTTAGTACACTATTGTAACAGTGTGATATGTTAATGACTCAATAAAAATACGTCGATTACGTTTGCTATGATTATATTAATCAGATTAGGTAGATTAGGAAAAATTTTTGTTTTTTTTTATGATGTCAAGAGACGGGACGAATAAGTGCCTATTCCAGAGCTTTAAATTGCAAAGATTTCAGGGGCAATGCTACCTGCGCCTGTCACTGTGAGACATAGGTTGACAAGTCCCGTGCGCCTGTAATTTCACTAGTACCCTTATCCTTCAAAACCGGAACGCAGTAATGCTCACATTACTGCATGTCGGCAGAAATAGGTAAGATGGCAGTATTTCCCTGGACGAACTCCTTCAAAAAGACCTCTACTTCTACTGCTGTGAACGGTGACTATTAAAAAACCCTCCTGTATAAAACATTTCACAAACGCTATAAATAAAATTTTACTATTATACAAACAGTTTGCATAATAATATATAATCTCGTAATTCAACTCCATAAACTTTTTTCACTTGTTTACTGTTTTAGAATAAAGAGGTTTACCACGACCATTGCAAATAGAAGTCTAACCTCATGAGATATAGGTGTGACAGGATATGTAATGTATAATATGAATGATAACTTAGGCAATTCTTTTTTATATGTTACCAAATGACGGGACGAACAAATCTTGGGCCTTGTAGTAAGCGACACGCCTGTTCATAACTGTCTGTACTGGTATAGATTTTGTCATATTTCTACAAATTTCAAACAATTTTAGAGATATCTTCAACGTTTGTAATTTCTTTATTTTTTTAATTGTTTAGATTATTTTTGTGATGAACGAGTTTAACTTTACTTAATTTTTTAACATTTTCATATATTTTCATATTGTTTTGATTATTTCATAATATTATTCATTCATAATTCATCAGTTAATTATCCTATTTCATATATCGTATCTACTCTCTCCACACCATCATCCACATTCGCTCTATAAAGAACAATGCTCATACAGTCCTGGACCACCTAAAAAAAAGTTGATGACCATAATTCGCAGATACAGGGTTTATTTTTGTATTTCCTTACAGTTTCCAATTATACTGTAATTACATATTTTTCACTGAAAAGTTGATTTAGGCATTTTTTTTTATTGAGGTATGCTAACAATGGATATTAATGTTCCTTTGTACTAAGGGTTAAATATTATAACAAGGTAAATAAAGTTGGGCAGGAATGACATTTGACAAATTCGAACAGCGCTCTTACAACTGAGCTATGGAACAAACCATTTTTCTTTCTGCTTGTTGCAGATTTTTGTTTTTGATTTATATTCAAATTCGTCAACATAGGTTACAGTAGATACGTTGAAATACATGGTGATAAATAAATGTATGGTGATCCTCAATGCTGCGCCTTAAGGCATATAAACTAAATAAGTAAATGAGTATAAGGAACATAAGAATTATATACAATTTATAAAGTTCTTAACTAATATGTGTGACACCACTAATTATATTCAATACGTTGTCAATGTACAAATAAATATTATGATTCTACAAATTAAAAAGATTTTGATTAAAATAACAATTAAAAATAACAAATTACATAATAGGATCCAAATACTCATAAATAGTGTAAAATGTTTCATTAACAAGGTATTCAAATTAATTTCTTTTGAATTTTTAACGACTTTTTTGGCATAGCGCCGTCAGTGACGTCGAAACCGCTAGATTGGTTTACTTCAGCTACTTTCACAGTCTAATGACATACGGCATTTTGCTTTGGGGTAATGCCGCCGATATCAACAGAATCTTTGTCCTGCAGAAACGTGCAGTTAGGGCAATTTACAATCTGGGCCCCAAAGTATCTTTGAGAGATAAGTTTAAGGAAATTAACATTCTTACACTAGCCTCACAGTACATTTATGAGAATGTAATTTATGTTAAAAGGAATAGTAATTTATTTATGAAAAATAGTGAAAAACAGACATAACATTAATACGAGGAATAGAAATAAACTAGCTTTTCTTGATAGTCGTCTTCACAAAGTCAAAAAATCATTTAAGGGGCAATGTATACGCTTCTATAACAAGATTCCGGTTGATATACAAAATTTGCCTTACACGAGGTTTAAAACTATGTGAAACAAAAACTTTATACTAAAGGTTATTATACAACTTCTGCTTACTTGGATGACAAAAATCCGTGGTAGTAACCCGTTTAGCTCATGGAGGTAGTCTCGATCTCTGATGTTTCAAATAATAATAAAAAAATATTGTAAATGTTATTTACAAAGAGCAACCCCTAGAGTTTCTTGCTCATTCTTCTCAGGGGAATCTGCCTTACGAATGAGCGGTAGAGTTTAATATTGTGACGATTTCAAGTGTAATAATGCTTACCTATGACTAAAGATTATTTTGAATTTGAATTTGAATTTGAGTGACAAATCTTGTAAGAATCATTGACTGGTTCGAACACACGGGTTCTGGCTTCGGATCCACCCGGATCGAAGGAATTGTGTAAACTTAGCGTTTTTTTATAATACGACGTGGCGGAACGAACAAGTCGTGGGTGAGCTTTAAATCGCAAAGATCTGAGGGGCATTACCACTGCGCCCGTCACCTTGAGACATAAGTTGACAAGTCCCATGTGCCTGTAATTTCATGCTGGTTAATCATGCGGTGTTCATGCTCTTATCCTTCTAAACCGTAACGCAGTTATGCTCCCATTACTGCTTGGCGGCAGACATAGGTAAGGTAGGCAGTACGTCTAACGACGGATTCTTTCACAAAGAGCTCTACTGCTACCAAACTAAATACGATATGGTAGTTGTTGGAAATTCCAAGCCCACACGAGGTTTCTCCAGAAGACCCGCGACCTGTTTTACATAGAGTACTACTAGATAGTACTTTACGCCATTGACATAAATAACATAAACCCTTTTGGGTTTTACCGTACGTCGTCTTATCGTATCACAACTCTTAAATAAAATAGTGATTCCTATGTTAATTAAATTTTTATTTAATTGATATTCAATTATTTTTTGTGAAATTACTCCACTAGTTTGTTATAATTATTAATAGAAAGATCGAACTAAAAAAATTGTCGTACAAAGACATGACGCAAGCACATAGAGAAATTCGTGAGGTCCGTTGGTTCGTTCCGTGGCTTAGTTGATATAGCGTCTGGCACGGTATGCAAGAAGACGTCGGTTCGAATCCGACCGGATCAAAGGAATTTTTTCTGAGTGTTTTTTTCTGAGTGATTCCAATTTTGTTAAGAGTTATTTTACATTCACAAGGAAGCTCTACTGCTAGAGAAGAGCGTTCGATCCTTGCATTAATATTTTTTTTATCGCTCACACTCACCATAGCCTCGCACTAGGGAACCCCTGTGTCGCGGGTGCCATGGACTCACGAGAGAAATAAATGTAAGCCATGCGAATTTATTTATTTATTATTTATTTCTCCCGGCCCGGCAATCGAATCTGAGACGTCTGCGTGGCAGTCCGGCATGGTAACCGTTCGGCCACAGAGGCAGTTTGAATCTAAGTGATTAACCACAAGCTTATTTGTTTTGTTATTTAACGACGTCCTGATACAGTTGTCATTCTGATAGTAAATAAAGATAGGAAATGAAACTATTTTTCCGGATTTAAATCGCGTATATTTGTTTTTTTCTACGTTTCGGGTCCTTTACAGGGGGTCTACTCTCGATCTCCGTCCGACATCCGTCCGAAACAATTACTGTCAAATAAGTAATATTCGACAAAATGAAAAGACAAGTATTAAGTGTGAAGCTTCATTCGCATCACGCGTCTTTTCATTTGGTCAAGTATTGTTTATTTGGCAGTAATTGTTTCGGACGGAGATGAAAAGTAAACCCCCAGGTCCCATGGTCACGATTGATTGAGGTGGTACAGTCATCAACCAGTCATGTCTAATATTAATGCAAACCACCCTATTTTTTCACTATCGTTACAAAAGTTATTAATTAAATACCTTATTTTTAATTTAACAAAAAAAAACATTCCAATTTACGCTACATTATGTTTTAAAAATTATTTTATTTTAACAATATGATTTTTTGTTAAGTTAAATTTATTATTAATTAATAAGTACTGCAGTCTTATGTCTGTTAGTGATTTTTCATCAAAGGAAATACTGGATCCCAAACTGGTGGTACGGAGAAACCGTCTTCCCTGTAGAAATTAGGATGTTTTTTTTTATTTCAACAGCCTCTCGCAGCATCCTGGGTAGATAACGGACTTCTTTTGCAAGGACCTGGGGTTTGTCAAACTTCATTGAACGTGTAGGTTTATCCATGCCACCCTGGAAGTCAGAAGACTTGTTTATGCGACTTGATTATTTATTGCATTTTTTTCTAATTTCAGCCATGCTACGTGTGCAATAGTACGGGACACGGCTGCCGCGCTTTACCCCGAGTGCATTCGAAACCGGATCATCCCATAGACATAGACGGCAACTTGTTGAGCGATGGCACTGACGCTCCATCAGGTAACTTATCAACACTAATGACAGCCTGTCTCGTCCCAAGTCTGCAAATTTCAAATAATCTCAGTCGTGTACCGATTGATTGTCAATAGCAGGATATTGTACGTTTGGTATTCAGCTAAAAGTTAAGAATTGTAGCTTGTCAGTGTCTAGCCATCGAGCTACCACTCAACTGCCATTGCAATTTTTTGGTATTCTGCTCTTCAATGGCGAATCGATTCATTATTTGACATTCAAAAAATACATTTAATTTGACGACTAAATTGCTGATTAAACGGAAAAAAATAAGATATGCGCATTGACTTACAAATAAATGGACGACGGGTCTAATACAAAAACCACGAAAAAAATGTCCCAAGTCAACCTATTCGAAATTTAAATTGTAATGTATCGTAGTATCGCGTTGTCAGTCGAACAAATGAAGACTAAAGCGGAGTTTGGCGCTCTGTATACGATTTTAGCGCCTTACAAGTGCGGACACTTTTTAGGGCGGACCCGACGTCCATATAATTGTAAGTCAATGGATATGCGTGTTAATTTCCAAAGTAGTTTTAGTAACAGTAGAGCTCCGTGTGAAAGAGTTCGTCTAGGACAAAGTACTGTCACCTTATCTATTTCTGCCGCCGAGCAGTAATGCGAGCATTCGATTTTAAAGGGTAAAGGTGCTGGTGAAACGTCGAGTATATATATCCGGAAATAGAGACGAAATAAGGGCCATCCATCCCTGGCAACTCACCAGGAAAATGGGCCTTATATCATTTTAAAATATCATCTCTCGTTTGCGCTGAAATCACAAATTAGAAAACTGAAATAGTACAGCGCCAACAACTGACCTGTGTGTACGTCTCCGTATATTTATTGTAATAAAGGTAATATCTCTAACAATGAGGGCTGTTCCATTTGGTGGTAAAAACAGCAAAATATCTAATTACAAAACAAACGGAATCGTCAAAAATTTCGTCCATTATAGCAAAGCTCACGTCACGGTCGTATTGAAGTGAAACAATTGATGACACCCGTCAATTGTTTCGAATTCGGGCTGGCCAATCGGAGCGCAGTTGTCTTAGTCATGATTTGGCAGAATAGTTTTCAAAGAAATGAAATAACATTTCGTCTCTATTTCTGGTTATAAACTCGATGTGGTGAAATTACAGGCACATGGCTTTTGTCCACCTAACTTATTGATTAATTTAATGTCCGCTGTCTTTCTTTACGCCGGTTTGCACTGGCCCTTACTCAGTTCCGACAAAGATATCAGATATGGCAGGAGTGAAACGATATGTGTCTGAGACACCATTATCGCTAAAGGTGACCCCGATGATATCGCATTTGCCAGAGTTGAATTTAAATCTCAAGTGTCTAATTGACAAGCTCTTGTCCTTGTACATTGGCGTATTTTGTTTTATCATTGTGATTTTTTGATAGATGGTAGCTCCACAGAACAATAAATGCAGTAGAAGTGGTTAGTTAGCATCACACGCGTGCCAACAGTAGGTCTAATGAGGGCAACTTGGAATCAGTCCGCCATTTTCGCTTTGTGCGGTATGGTTGTGTCCAGTTCAGCTACTGGCCGCAAGATGGCAGCACGTTGAATAAAATTTCAATATAAAATCAGAAAGTCGTAACTTGCAATAAAGGTTTAAATTATATTAACAGTCAGGTATTTGTGACGTCATTTTAAATTAGAGACTTCGACCAATCACTGTCAAAATTTCATAGTGTTTATCATTTGTTTTGCGTTTTGACGACATCGGTTCTGATAGTAGGTTCACCTAGGCTTAAGGCATTTCCACTATTTTAATTCTATTTATTTATTTATTTATTTAATCAATATTGCGAGTGGGCTCACAGAGCGTATCCAAAACACCCACAAGCTTAGGCAACATTACAAATTATTGATAAAGAATTGCGATACAATTAAAATAAAATAAAATTATAGATACAATTTAACTTACAAATGTCAAAACCTTAACCTACTTAGTATCTAATTTCCTACACGTAAAAAGTCATTATTTAAAAATATGTTCGCGTTCCTAAGAATTTGTCCAAAGGAATCAGCAAATAAGTCCATGTCATAGTGGTCAGCGAGCATATCTCCGATGAGCGTGAGTGCCCGCGCGGAGGGCGCATGCGCAGCGCGAACGGTGCGCACTGCCGGCCGCTGCAGCAAGCGCAGCCGCCTACGCGGCGTCACTATCCCAGCCTCATCCCAACTAATGCGAGAGGGCACCTGAATGCTAAATTTCTCGAGAATATCTGGACTATCGATTTTATTATGAACGATTGATAGGTAGTGTAGTACTAGCATCCATTTTCGCCTAAATGCAAGTGTTTCTAAATCGACCATAGCAGTTACAAATAAGGAGGGGTAGAGAAACGGATAGTACCCATAAGTTCTCTTATATAACCATCGAGCAAATTTACGTTGAAGCCTTTCCACCATAAGGTTATATTTATTTTCATGAGGATCCCAAATGATAGCGCACTGTTCGAGTTTACTGCGTACATACGCATTATACAAAACCTTTGCTACTCTACTGTTCTGGAATTGTGAAGCAATTCTCATAATAAAACCCAAGGTTTTGCTAGCTTTCTTGCACATTTCAGTCACGTGAGTATGAAAATCCAGTTTGTCATCTAATATTAAACCTAGGTCGCGAATGTTATTAACTCTATCCATAGGAGCGTCATTTAAACTATATCTAGTAAAAAGGGGTGATCGTTTACGCGTAAAAGTTATCACTTTGCACTTATTTTCATTTAGTGGCAATCTATTGACTCGACTCCATTCGGACTCCATATGTATAGCTCCATACAAATGTAGCAGTGCGGCTTGTATGTGTGCACTTTCGTCGACGTCATTTTCTCGACGCACACATTCGCATTATCTCGCGCGTCTATCAATTCAGCACTACCCTGGACGAACTCTTTCACAAGGAGCTACTAAAAGTAAAGAACCAAAATAATAAATAATGTCCGCCGATGGTTTTCTCCATACATTTACACATTTGACTTACCTGTCGTGTCAGGCCGCCCCCGAATATAGATTATAAGAAAAATGAAATCCTTTTATATACATTTTTAAGACTTTAAAGGCCTAAAATATAGGAATGCGTTAGTTTCGCATTAAAATAAATTAATAAAATTGAACAAAATCCAGATTTTTATTTAAAATAATAAAAGATTTCCATGTTACATTCTTGCTTTGTAAACAATAGGACGTTCTGTAACCCTCATTTGATTACAAACTGTGTTCTGAATAACGTTTGTAGCCTTTGTCGGTCGAGAACTTCGAGTAATCGTACGGGTGTGACGTCATTTCGGTTCGGTTTCGAATATGAATTTTGACGTTCAATTCAGTTATTGTGAATAAAAATGAAAGAAAATCGTACGATATCTAATCGAATCGGTCGACAACAGAGTTATCGTAAGGTTCTGAATCGACCTGTAGGTGCGCCCAGTATTGCCAGACTTTTGCGAAATTAATTCGCGAATTTATGGACGCTATTAGCCGATATTCGCCCAAGCCATAAAAGCCCTGATGATCAAGGAATGCAATTTTGCTTGCTGCGGGGAATTTGGGATTATGAATTCTCTTATTCCTCCAATTCCCCACACTTAGAAATACTCAAACCTCCAAATAAGTTGTTTTTGAAACTCCTTTTCCCACAAAATCCCCAATCAAGTTTGTAATTCCCCAGACATTTCATTAAGTAGCATAAAATCGCCTTTTCCTATTTCAAAAATGGCCTAAATATCGCCGAGTCGCCTAAATGGCGAAAAATCGCCTAATCATTAATTACCTATTAATGACCTACAATAATCTTTCTTCAATTCGTAAACGAATTAATATTAGCGCCATCTATTTGTTAGAAATAACAAGTCCGTGTAATGTTTCATTTCAAAGCAATAACTGTCAAAACGAGTTTAAAAATTAAACGCGTTGTATGTAGTTTGCTCCGTAAAAGTCGTCGAAATGTCACTCCTGTATATGCATACTTTTTTCTACCTTTTCAGTGTTAGACGACGGTTTGGAAGAAGAACCAGTAGGCGTAGAAAACACAGACTTCGTCCTTTACGTGAGTGCAGTTGAAACTGAGAGATGTCGCCGCGGATTGACAGTTGCTTACGCGTCACACTGTCAACAGGAATCGGCCTTGGACAGGTATGACTCATTTGGTTTCTTTCTTATCTTAAGAAGTATGGTTATAAGGAAAAGTGGGGAAATCGAAAACAGACATTGACAACATTTGATATGATTGTAAATTTCATGAATAACTAAACGATACATATCACTGTACCACCTCAGTCAACCGTGACCATAGGACCTGTAAAGGGCCCGAAACGTCGGTTTGTTTGAAAAAACAAATACCTATACACGATTTAAATCCGGAAAAATGGTTTCATTTCCTATGTGTAACAATCCCGAAAACCTAAGAACTTATCGTTTAACGACTGTCGTGACTAGCTGTTCCCACAAGATCGTGGCGACAATTTATTGTTTCACGACAGCCTCCTTGCCCATCTCTGGCTACGACCCAACGCTACTGCAAAGCGAGCAGAGGGCGCGGGGTACGAGAGGGGAGGGGAACAGAATACGTGTGGACAGCGATAAATAAAACGTGACGACAATAGGAGCTACGACAATCTGTCGTCACGTAAACAAAAATGAAGTAGGTAATTCATTTCACATAGATGACAGAAAATACCTATCTAACTAACCTGATTTAAAGTATGAAAACACGTTTCATTATTATTTATTACAGAATAGGGTTTCTGCAGTACACATTATGGTTTATTGAATTACTAAAAAACTAAGCATTTAGAGAAAAAAATTGAGAGATTTTTTACTGTCAGAAAGTTCCAGCGCGAAAACAAACTACATAACCACAAAAGGCAGTCGCTGGCGACGCACTGATATGTACGGTCTTACATCACCTTATACAAACACGACGGTATTCACGGTACAGTCATGGTGTGCACATATGAAATTTGTGTGTGTAACGTCCACAAATGTATCTCAAATAAATCATTCAATTTTGTCAATACATTGTTGACACTTCTCTATGGAGAAGCAGTAGGCGGCAACGACAAAGAAAGCACTTGGAATACGCACGGTAAAGCCCGTAGTAGTTTTTATAAGATCCATATATCATAACAGGATACCCCGTACTGTCCATATACGAATTTTTCATTTTACGGTAAACGCCGTTACTGTCCATGAAAGGGTAAGGATGACATAGTTGTACAAATAGTTAATTACTGGCCATTTTTATATCATTTTTAGGTGATTTGAAACTACTGTTGAATAATATTCATTATAAACAAGACTTCAAGATTTAGTATTATCCATAATCTAGTGGAATTGGGGGAAATTGAATGAAAACCCTAAAAATCATATGTTTTTGTTTGTTGACATTTATTCTACATCGATTTTGGCAGTTCCGCCTTTTTATTTAATCATTTATTTCCAGCCACATGACCCATATAATATAATAGGACTAACATACATACTATATATGTATACTAAATAACCAATCTACACGTAATTGCACTTGTTGGCGACATGTGGCGCAATCTGGTGTCAAGTAACTGGCCGCGGAATCGCCGATACATGACACTCTTCGGCCAAAACTCTTCATTCATGAAGGTCGACAGTTGTTCGATCGGCACTCTCACCACAAACGAATTAAAATTCACGTTGTGGCGGGACTCTAACCGCTCACGCGATACATGCAGCCGTAGACGCATACCACACCTAGAGGTGCCGGTGATGATTTTATACCGATTTATCGGATATCGAAGTTATAACAGGTAAAAGAACTAATATTAATTGCTATTTCGGTAACTAATCTAGCAAACCATAAAGTTTTTAATGCCTAGGTCTGCCATTTAAAAAAAATAAACAAGTTCAAAAATACGTCACGACAATCGTGTGAGTGTTATTGTTTGGGCTGGTGATTTCGGTGTTTATTTATTGAAAACATTCCGTGAGTAGCGTTTTTTAAGTTTACCCTGAATATAAATGTTTATAAACTATACTTTAAGGAGTAATTTCATGGTAAACGTTAAAACCACTCAAACGGATTATTATAATATTTATCCAAGTACGCCAAAAATTTCATCAGTGCTTTTTAAGTGCAGGATTTGCAGTGTATTCCTGCATTTTATTTGAGATGTTTTTGTTGGTAGTACGGAGGGTATTTATTTAGCAATGCAGAATAATAATTTTTATTTATAAAAACTCGTATTTAAACTGAATGATTTTCTAATTTGCGAAACCAGATAGCCGCCATTTTGCGGTAGGAGGAGCGCATCGCGTGAGCGGGTAATAACTCGACTGTCAGGGTGTATTTGGCTTTTAGCCTGATGTACTTCACTATCTCTTTAGACTTCGTGGAGTAATGTAATACTTACATTACAAACTTTGTATATAAATGTCTAAATTAGAAATGAGGCAATTTGTCTATTTACAATTATAGTATTTTCATGAGTGTAATCTGGAATACGAAATTATATTAATCTACACCTTTGTATCATGAATTCATGACTCTAGTGGACTTATAATGTCTATCTCTGCCAAAATTACGGAGGACGATAGGTAATACAGATATAATATAGTTTTTTGTCGTTTAACGTCAATGCAATTGAAACTATGTAGTCACGGTTCGTGCTTTTTTGTTGTAGACCAGTTGCGGGCCACGCGAACTTCTGTCCCGGTGAGCTGTCAACGAAAGATAGGGACCTGCCGTCGGTACTCTCAACTGTCAAACACGAAATGTTGCACGCTCTAGGTTTCAGCGTGTCACTGTTCGCTTTCTACAGGTAAGGATGTCACTCATCATCCTTTTTATAGTATTCTTAACACGTCATTCTTATCGTAAAAAATAACAAGATTTTCTTCTATGTGTTTTTATAAGTTATATTTGGTATTCTATATTAAAGGACAGGGAATACTCGGAGGATGTTGAGGTTGGAATACCGCTTCTCTAGTTTTAGGCGCAAGTGAAGAAGGAGCTCAATTAAGAAAGTGATGTATAAATAATTTTTAATAAGAATGAAGGACAGCAGAAGATGCGACAGGATATTATTTACGACAAGACAACGTCATTAAAAATCTGACCGACGCAAGACAAGTTTGTACAACGACGACCGAGAATAAGTTACTTTGATCAAGTCACAAGAAAAATTGGGGCCACGTGATATAAGAAGGTCAAGCTTTTCCAGCTTTGCAGAGGAAACGATTTGAAACTAAATCGTTCGGGGTCGCTCAGCGCGAATATTCATACTGGTGTATTCTTTGATCCTTCTAAGGCGTTTGATTGTGTGCGTCATGATACTCTGGTCAGGAAACTTCGCCGTTCTATTGTGGCAAGCCATAACCTCCACTTTCTTAAATCGTATTTGCGTGATAGATAGAGTACAGAGGTTCGATGTCAACGGTGCGTTTGGATCATCAGAGTCTGCAATAACCACAGGTGTCCCTCAGGGCTCAATTATAGGTCCAAGAAGTAAAATTGTGTGATCCAATAACTTCATTGGTATCAGGAACCAATTAATTTTCTTACTTCGGCTAGATCTAGTAGATTAGCCCCATATCACAAGTCTAATAATAACTGAGCTACCTTTTTTTATAGGGACGACGATGGGGAGCCTTTAACTGCACGACGGACTGACACCGGAAATCCACCTTTAGATGAAGAGTAAGTATGTAAATTAATAAGCTGAAAACATAAAATGATAACTAGGTTCATATAGTAAAGTAAACAAGTTATAGTTATAAAGTAAACGTATAGATAGGTGTAACGTTTAGAATCTTCACATAAGCAAACATGTTTTGTGAAATAATAAAGGAAGAAACAACAAACAATACAGAAATTAAAATTGACGGTGAAAAAGAAAACCAAGACTGAATAAATATTACATAACAGATAGCTTATATCTATCTAATAACAAAAATTTTGTCCTAAAATCAGTGCGAATTTTGCCCAAAATCAAAGCACTGATTTTCCGTTCGGCTACCACATTAGACTTAGCGCAATGCGGAACATTAATAGCAAAATAAAAAAATAATGATAAGGTAAGGTGGGGTAAGGGGTAAGGAAACATCGGAAGGAGGGACTTGAAGAGAGTTTGGCATTATAGTATCTCAGTCGATAAAACAGATAAATAGATTAGTTTAAACGATTTTAAAGAGATCTCGCTATGATGCTCCAAATCCGAAAGGCGGAAAAAATAAATTGGACAGCTGTGAAATCTTGAGAACACGAATACATTACCTTTATAAGAGCTTATGCAAACGACGTATCTTATACGCACCGTAAACCTTTGCACACGTTCACAAATTCAATGACATCGTAAACCCGCGTATACGCGCCATAGTCGCTTGTATGTATCGCGCATTTTGATAGGAGATAGTTTTAATTTAATTTTGTTTTTATTGGGAGGTCAGTGTTTGTTTCTACATTTCAGTTACTTTTTGAAATGAAGCAACTAAAAAAATGTTAAAGCACGCACATTGCGTCTTTAAAAACATATCCTAAAATAGATTTCAAAGAAATAACTTTGTAATTTTTAACGCACACACATACTCAACATATCCCCGCACTAGGGAAACCCTGTGTCGCGGGAGCCATGGACACACACATAGACAACCATAAATCACGAGAAAAATAAATGTAGGCCCGGGAATCGAACCTGGGACCTCTGCGTGGCAGTCCGGCGTGGTAACCGTTCGCCCAGAGATTATTACTATTCGTTTTTGGCTGTTTATTTTTCATGCATTGCAGTAGACACGATGTAAGAGAAGGACAAAATATTACAGCAGCAACAAAGTTGTATTCAACATGAAATTCTAAGGGTCGTATTCTAGAACTCTACTCAATGCTCAAGTTAGGACTTGAGTATGATTCAAAGCACTAGAAATCATACTCAAGTTTACTCAAATCCTGACTTGAGCATTGAGTAGAGTTCTGGAATACGACCCTAAGTGTG